TAAATATATGAATATATATATAATATAATATTATGCATTTCATCTAAATTTAAAAAATTAATAAAAATTATATTTTATTATATTGTAAGTTTTCCGTAGTTAAATTTTTGAAAATTCCCTTATCTTGTTAAAACCTATGTTTCCTTTAAAAAAAATTAGGTTGCATTAAGAAAGTAACTTTTTTTTTTTTACTTATTTTATCTACATATTATATGGTTTAGATTCAAAACTTTATATTTTTATTTGAAAGAAAGATATTACTACATAATTTATTAGATTATTAACATTAATAAGTATAAAAAAGGAGTACCCACAGCTTCGGTTGCTTTGATCGGATGTACTTAAACTCATGGTTTCGATCAGAATTCAAAACTATAGTGTGCAGCCTCTTTTCTCCCCTCACATTCTCCCTTGTTAAAAAAAAAGTATAAAAAAGGAAAAATTATGATATTTTAATATTTAAAATATTATTAAAATACCTAATAATAATTTATTAACGAGATTAGTGTTTATTCACTTTACCTTTAAAAAATTAAGAAAAATAACAAAAAAACATTATAATTCATGTTTTAAAAATATGATATTTTAATTTTTTTTAATAGTTATTTATTAAAATGATAATTTTGAAATAATATTTCTGTTAATCTTTAAAAGATAAAGCAAATAAGTATTATTCTTTTTATTAAATATATAAGATATATTGAGAATTTTAATTATAAATATTAAATATATAAGATACGATGCGAATCTTAATTTTATCAAATTTATTTTATAATTATTATTAAACATAATAATATTTTTAATATTTTAAATATTAAAATGTCTTAAATTTTTTAAATAAATATTTTAATATATTAGGGTCTTTTAAAATGCCGAGTCACTTATGTCTAGGTGTATGACACCTGTCCCATAGAGGACGAAAGAAAACAGTAGAATGGAGAATTTGAATCTGTTGCAAGTGATTTATCGGCACCACAATATCTACACGTCACATATAAAAAACGGCATCACAAATTAACATCATGCAATTCAAATTCCCCGAATGGTCCACCAGGGATATACCCAATGAAAAAACAAAGTGTTTTTTTGGTATTATTAAAAAAA